TTTCCATCCTAGATTATACTATGGTTCCCTTACTTGCTGATCTTAATGCCAGCTCTCTTCCCTTCCTACATTTATAACTGAGCAAACCAGTGTTGAGCAATGCCAGTAGTGATGGAACCATCACAAATGCTGGCTATGAATTTCTGCTGACTGTCTGCCGGTCATCTTGTTTTAGAGGGAAGAAAATACAACTGGGGAGTGTTTTCCCTAGAGTGTTAGGGTAAGATTCCTTTTAAGAACATTTTCTTCAGGTTGAATAGACTATTATTTCTAAATCTATTTTTACTAATCTTGGCCATCTGCACAAGGTACACTGTGGTTTTTAAGTGTGGAGAATGTGATGAATCCTTGGATCACAGCTGACATGACCAACAAAGGGATGGAGTCCGTTAACTTGGGCAGTCTTCTAAGACAAGAATGAGACTATCCTCAAAGCACAAAAGCCCAGACAATATAGCCAAACAGACATGTATACCCACATGTATGGGAGATTTGGAGGTTCTAGTTAAACACAACTTTTAATGTTTAACCTTACTTTCTCACCAAATAGCCAAATGGTGACCTTTCTCTTTGGCCATCTTCAAGAGCTAGACCTTCAGAAAGGGAAAACGATCAATTATGTGTACTTTGGATGTACATGGACCTGCTGGGCTACTTCATGAACAGACTTAATTTTTCTGGTGATTTGTCCATAAATCTTGGGCTTTTTATTAGCAACCATTTTCCCTTTCTCTGGGAATATACTTGTCCAGAGGCTTCTAGTAGTACCAGAACATGAGATTGCTTCTGGCAGTTGATGTTTCTGGCATTTGATACTTTTAAAGGAATCAATTTGGTGCATGTCCTCAAGTTATTTAGCGGGCACAACTCTTGGGTAGTTGGATTTTTTCTTGCTCTTGTTCTTGGTTTGGAAGGAAGTACGGGGACCTAGGTCCCTAGAAAGCTGCCTTTTGTCATTAGCTTCTTTACTTGTCTAATTCTTTGAGGTTTTCTGGACTGGATGCAATGTGGATAACACTGGAATCCCAGTTTCTGGGAAGAGAGAAATTGAGAGAACTGGGCAAAAACTTAGGGAGTTTGGATATCAAGAAAAAAATAAAAGTGGTCCTTGCCACTACTATGTAGGAGACGTACATAGGAGAATCCAAGCCCAGCCCCCACCCCAAGAAGGGAAACCTTCTCTGAAAAGTAAAAGGGGGCTGAAGGTGTGGCTCAAGCGGAAGAAAGCTACTTAGGAAGCGCAATGCCCTGTGTTCAGAATCCCTTTACTACCAAATTGAGATAGAATTACTTCATCATAATTTTATATGAACCAGTACTACTTGTTGACAAGGCTTTTATCTAAGGTATGATTTTTGGCTTGTCAAAAATCACCTGACTGTTGCTATGTGGGCTACTTCTGGGCCCTTCTGTCCCATGTCATTGTTCTTTGTGTCTGCTTCTGTGAAGTAACACTGTTTCTGTTACTGTGGCTTTGTAGTATAATGTGAAGGATGGTATTGGGATACATCAAGTATTACGGTTTTTGATTAGGATAACATTTTCTATTTCCAATTTCAGTACTTGTTTTTCTATTTTAGTGAAGAATGACCTTGAAATTTTGATGGGAAGTGTGTTGAATCTGTAGAAGACTTTCAGGACAACATAGCTATGTTGACAATATTCTGCCAACCATCTTACTGGGAGATTTTCTCCATCTTCAAATGAAGCTACTGTCCATGCTTCATAAGGCTGATATTTGTATCCAGCCAACTCTGCTTCCATCTCTTTGAAGCTACTGAAATGAGTTTTCTGTTGGCATCACTGCCTATAGTCAAAGGGCTTCTTTAATCATTGTCTTAAAATAAGGCATTCTATGGCCACATTTATGGAGAAACAGTTACACTTAAAAAATTTCATTTCCTTAAGTGGTAGGTTTTTATTTAAAAGCTTGATTTTCTGGTGCTTACAGAGATCTCTTACTATATGCTAGAAATCCATGATTGTAGGTTTGGGAAACTATTTGCTCCCCAGTTATAAAGGCTTCCACTTTGTTTTTGACCTGCTGATTACCAGCTGGTTACATCAATTACTAGGTTCTCAAAGGTGTAAAATGGCACGTAAGACTTCGTATTGATAGTTGAGCTGATGCCAATGTTCTCTATCCTTTGTCTGGCCCATGAAACTTCCCTTACCCTCCCCAAACCACTTAGTGGGTCTCTCATATCCTATGTATTCTAAAAGCATCTCTAGTTCTGGTTAATCCCTGGTCAGTCCTAGAGAAAGCACTCACTGGGAGCACTGGGTGCCAGTACTCTTGGCTCAAGGCTCTTAACATGAGTCAAAACAGAAGATCAGAGCAGGAAGAACTTAAGCTTGACAGCCTTGCTGGTGCCTCTATTTCTGACTTCCAGTGTTGGTTTGTTCTGTTCATGTTTGTGCTAGCAGTACATAACAGGGCATGACTCATATTGAGCTAGCACCTCTTGAGGTGGAAGAGTTGACCTTAGGAAATCCTTGTTGCTAAAATTTCCTGTTGCTCCCAAGAATAGAGCAGTTGTGTTCAGCAAAAAACCTGATTTTTTTTTCAGTCACTGGGAGGTCATCTCTGGCAAGGAGTTATTGTAAGTCCCCTAAGTAGAGGGGATGCTAGCTTTCTGTCTGTGGCTATATTAGTGGGCCAGGACCTGTCTGTGACATTCTTTGGCAGCAATCACCTATTTTGTTGCTCCTTAGCAGAATCATCTTAAGATTGCAGGTCTGCTCAGTTTCTCCCCCTGTTCTATTCTGGATCTTCCCAAGAATATTCCCCAATGGACTTTGTGCTGTAGAGTACCTTTTAGTTGGCCACTTGGGGAAACTATCCTGCGATACAGCCTTGATGCTCACCACCATGATCAAGCCTATAAGCAAGCACTGAGTGATGCAGGCTAACATCCCAATCCCCATGCACATCTCTACCCATCGTCTGTTTTGTATTGCCCAGCAACATTGCTAGGTGTGACAATGAACCACCCCTATGCAAAGCAGATGTAATACGTACTGTCTGAAAGTCTGCTTGGTGTAGCTTTCACTTCCCCAACCTTTCAGTCCCTTCAGTGAGTGGGGATATGGTCCAGCGACTGTCAGCTTCCTAGTGTGGCTGGCATACCCTGAAAATGGTATCACCTACCCATCTTGGCATATTTCTTCCAAGTGAACACTTTGAAAAGGTGTAGTAGGTTGACAAAAATGGAAGCAAGAAGAAAAGGGTGCCTTGGGATTCTAACTGGACTTCATGTGAATGGCTGTTTCCTGGGGTTATTCAGAATTGATATTCCTGAGTTTTCTTTTATAGTACCTTATCCTGGTGCTTGCCTAGCTTTGTGAGCTGAGCTGTCCATGAAGTAGGTTTTATCTGAGTCATAACTGCCTCCCCCCTCTCCCCATCATAGTGTACTTTGACTTTGGTTTCTAGTAGAGCATCCGGAAACTCATTCAGGAAAAGAGGAATAAAATTATTCTAGTACCATCAGTATCTAGATAGGGTCTTCTTAAACTATGATTGTATGAGTTTCCATACAACATGTTTGACTTATGAATTCCTTGTTATGAAAATTTCCTTTTTAAACTCACAAGAAATGAGTAGCTCAACTCAGAAAAGGTCTTGCTTTTTACTCAGTAAGAGGCCATCTGGTAGAGGAGTGCCCTTAAGTCCCAGAAAGGGAAAAGGATGCTAGTTTCACTGTTAGTCTATCTACAGGCCTGGGAACTGAGTTCTCTAGTCCATAAGGCCCAAGTGGTCAAACATCTTATACCTACTATTGAGTCCACTCATGCTCTTGATTACACTTCAACCTGGCAACATAAGAATTACTTGGTAAATGGGTCTGCATTGTGCTGAAATATGTGTAGGCATCCAGAAGTTCATGTTACCTCCAAAGTCCAAAAATTCTTGAAACACATGTACTCAGTGCCAGATGCAAGGTAGAGACTTGCCACTAACTTCAGAAGATGTTCCCATAGGCACAGTCCACTGGTACAGCAGGACCAAACCTTGGGGAAACAATGGTCTTCTCGTAGTACTTGTATATCCTGTTAAGTCGTGCAACGTCTTTATGAAATGCTGTGGACCCAATGGAGTAAAGAATGAGAATTGATGTAATAAACTTTGTAAAGGCATGTTTATGTCCATGTCCATGGTATAGCTTTTATTTTAAATACGTTTTTTTACTGTGAATATACTGTACAAAGGGGTTACAGTTTACATGAGCAAGGTACAGCTTTATATGAAGGCAAACTTTAGAGCATGGTAAATAGCCCTTGCTAGCCTATTGTCTTTGTATATCTTCATATTTCATCAAGGTCATAATAGAAAAAGATAAGGCATGGAAATATTTAGTCTCAACAGATTAAATATTTTTTGTGTCTGTCCTGGGGCGTAACTCAGGACTCAGGAACTGTTTGAGTTTTGTTACTCAAGGCTGGTGCTCTGCCACTTGAGTTTGGCCTTCTTGGGGTTGATGAAGATAAGAGTCTCAGGAACTTGTTGTCTGGGCTGGCTTTCCACTGAGGTCCAGACGTCTTGGCCTCCCACCACTAGCATCTGGCTGAAACTATTCTTAATATCTCTCACTTTGACGTTTCTTGCCTAGTTGTATTTCTTTTTTTTTTTTTTTTTTTTTAGAAAATGTCCTACAATGTGCATTTTATTCCATTCCATTATACAATGTTTACATACAGTTACAACTCTTTGAAAGCATGGTTTTGATTGATCCACTGCGTGTAGTGCATAAGACTTTTCACTTTAGCAGGGAGAACCGGGGAAGCGTGGAATTCCACCTCAGTGCTATCCTAGAGTGGTACAGGGCTGAGTGTGGGCCAGTCAGAAAGGAACGGAGTCCTTAAACACAGAAGAGCAGTGAGCGAGCGTGCTTTCAAACCCTTGGCCTCAACGTCACAGATATACGGGATCTGTGGTCTCATCTTGCAGTAAAACTGACAATAAATTAGTGTTGGACACAACTCAGAATTGTACAATATTCAACAGAAGGGACCTCTGTTTATTTAAAGTAGCACCAATCCACACCTGATTGTCTCCACCCTCCAGCTGACCGGATGGTTGGCACTTCAAGTAAAGTCTTTGTGCTTTGGTGAGGACTCCGGTACTGACTTAAGCACCCTGCGTGTCTGAAGTCTACTAAGTGTGGCAACGTGGACCTGGGCAATGGCACGTGGAGCCCTCATGGCCTGCTGTGGCTCGCCTGTGTTCCCCACCCACCCTAGCAGGCTCTTGTGGAAGTGGGTGAGACAGTGGTAAATTAAGTAAAGATGCATTCAGGGGCTTTCATGATAAGCAGGTGTTTAAAAACAACAACAACAAAAAAACACAACACAAAACAAGAACAAAATAGAGCAATGTGGCCGCAGCTAGGGAAGTTCTCACATGTTGTTTAACTCCAGTAAAGTCTGATCCAGCATCTGATGCATACTAAGGTTCTCTTCTTTGGCATGAGCCACTTTCTCTTCTAAGTCATCAATGCTTTTCTCCAACTTAGTTACTGACCTCTCTGCAAATTCAGCCCGAGTCTCAGCCTCCTTCAGCTTGTCAGAAAGGACCTTGATCTCTTCCTCGTATTTATCTTCCTTCTGTGAGTACTTATCCTCTGCAGCCATTAATGCTTTCAAGGTCTGATCCATTATTCTTAATTGTTCTTCCAGCTGTCGAACTTGGCCTTCTGAGAGCTCAGCCCGCTCCTCTGCACGTTCCAGGTCACTCTCAATGATGACCAGCTTGCGGGCCACCTCTTCATATTTGCGGTCGGCATCTTCAGCAATGTGCTTTGCCTCTTTGAGCTGGATCTCCTGAATTTCCATTTTTTCTTCATCCTTTTGGGCTCGACTTTCAATGACCTTCATGCCTCTCTCGCTCTCATCTGCTGCCTTCTCAGCCTCCTCCAGCTTCTGCAGAGCTGTTGCTAGACGCTCCTGAGCACGATCCAGCTCCTCCTCAACCAGCTGGATGCGTCTGTTCAGAGAAGCCACGTCGGCCTCAGCATCAGTGGCTTTTTTCTCTGCCAGCTCCAGTTTCTCCTGGGCATCTTTGAGAGCCTCGGAGTATTTATCCAGTTCATCTTCAGTGCCCTTGAGTTTCTTTTGCAACGAGACCAGCTCATCTTCCAGCTGTTTACTGCGGTCTTCCGCCGCCTTCTTGTCGGCTTCGGCCTGCTCGGCTCGATCCAAGGCGTTCTCCTTGTCGAGCTTCAGCATCTGCATCTTCTTCTTGATGGGGTCCATGGTGGCGGTGGCGAGGGGCCCGGAGGGTTGCCGGCGGTGGCGGAGAGGGGTGGACGAGGAGCGCGCTGGGGCGGCCGAGCCGGAGTGCCAGTTGTATTTCTTTAAGAGGCACCTGCAAGCATCTTTTGAGTGTTATCACCTATATGAACTGGGGCAACTACAATTACATTTAGGCATGAGTGTAGCGGGTCAGGTGTATGAAGGTCTATATTGAATTCAATGTTGTCAGTATCTGTAGGTTTCTCTCACTGAAGTAAAAAAAAAGTTTTAAAGTGCTTAAGGAGTCCAAATCTTAATAAATTTTCAAGTGCTCCATGCAGTATGAACTGTGGTTAAGTGCAACAGTTCTTTAGTGAAAGGATTTAGACGAGGAAAGAACACACAGGAGGTTTTAAAGGTGAAAAGTTTACTGGGTGATGCTCCCCGGCAAACGCCCTGGATGGATCAGAGAGGTCGCCGATAGTCTGATTGTAGCAGAGATTTTATGGCTGGGGTCAGCAGGGACTTGTAGCACATAACTTGTTTTGCGAGTTGGAACAGTGTCAGGCTAGTGCCCCCGAAGAATGATTGGGATAGGTGGTGTGTAATTGGGACAGGTGGTGTATAAGGAAGTGAGTTTTTCTCAGCTGCCTCTGTCCTCCAGTGGCCTGTCATTTAGAACTTGCTATGTTTAACTGAAGACTGAGGACTTACTAAACAGTCCCATTGATTCATGGTGGCTTCCTGGTACCAATGGTAAGAGGGATTTGGGTGAGCAATATTGCTACAAATTGCAGAGCTCATTGCCAAGCTCACCTTTGCCTATGGAAAAATAGGCATCTTTGGAGCAAAGTCGGCTTGGATCTCATTTTAAGCAGGGAGCAGTTGACTTTCTGTTATGGAATCCTGCATGTCTCAGGCTGTGTTGGGCTCAGCATCTAATGTTGCTTATTTGCAGAAGTTCTGGATAGATCAAATACAAATGATAAATGATTTTCTGAAAATGGTAGAAATATGGTTTCATAGGTCATGGTATAATCTTGACTTGGCATCATTGCAAAGCCATTTGGTGATCTTTGGACTCGGAATCATATGTATGTGGCTCACACATGTAAGTTAGGGTCTCAGTTATTCCAGGTGATCCAGAAGGTAAATGTCCACCATGGAATATTGGGAGAAGGATATTTCCTTTTGAACCAGAAAAGTTACTGCTTTATTCAAGCTTCTCTAGTGAAGCAAAGAGGATATATAAATACATAATTAGGGGGGCTGACGAGTTTCAACCCCAGCCATTGGCAAGCTGGAAATCCAGGAAGTCTCAAGATACAATTCAGAGTGGGTACAAAAGCCCAAGAGCCAGGGGATCTGGTGGTGAGAGTCTTACTAGGGAGCTGCTTAGGAACCCAGACTTCTAAGATGGATATACCAGCTTAATGTCCACTTAGGTTAATTTATAAGGATAGCTCTTTGTTTACTGATTCAAATGCTAGTGCCTTCCAGACATACCCTAAGGTAAAGTGCTGACCAGCTTTCTGGATGTGCCTTAGTCTCACTAAGTAATTAACTTCTAAAACTACACAGCAGTGCTATTGCCTTAAATATTGACCACCTTGGAACTTCAGTCTCAGCTCCTGAGTTGGGGTAGATCTCACAGATATGAACTTGAGAACATGTTGACAGAACTTGGGTTCTGGACCATGATTCTGAGTACTTCTTCAGACCTAGCAGTTTCTAGGGAGACTCCTAGATGCAATGAGCATTAGCAGATCAGAGATGGCTGCTCAGCTTCCAGAAGGGTGTTCTGCCACCTCCACCTGCTCATGGAGGTATCAGGCAGGATGTATCACAAAACGGCAGGTTCTGAGTTTTGCAAACCTTTTCTTCATGACTTTTAAAAGGATCTAGATCATAAACTTCAATAAACTTATAGTCTAGTCTCACCACGAGAGCTTTATCCTGAGGACTCTGTAGACAGCTGATTTAGGAGAAGAACCCAGTGAGAGGAGCCAATACTCTGGGGAGAATAAAATAGTAAGGGAAAGGCCAGGACAGTGGTGTGTACTAAGATCACCATTTAGGGACAAAAGCAAAGAACCTGTGAGCCACAACAGCAAACAAACCTGAAGGCTCAGTGGTCTACAAATCAAGACTGTTGATAATCTTCTCCTGTCTATACAGTCTGTGGGCTGGTGGAGTTTGTCTGTGTATTCCTGTGGTCCCCAATATACGTACGGCAAAAATGCTACTGAGCATTTCTGAGTGTGGAGTCGTTTGGTTAGGTTTTCCCTAAGTGTTCTTTCTTTTTCAGTATGCTCTGGGAGAGAGACTGCACAATGACATGAAGCAGTACTTTTGGAGGAAGGAGAGACTCAACAGTCACATTCCAGACAGCACTTTAGTACTCAGGTTTTAGTAGATGCAAAAGTGCATCTTTGGTGGCTGTCTTGGGAAGGAGTGTAGGGAAGAGATTGTTCTTCCACTCAGAGGAGGATGGCTACCCAGAGAAGGCCATGCTTGTGGGTTTGGATCCCTCATTTTTTCCCCTACCCCACATACCTTCCTCCGAAGGAATAGAGATGGATTAAAGGGAGGCTACATTTAGGGATCAACCTTCCACCTGCTTTGGGTCTGACCAAGAAGCCATTACAATCTTGACTAGCCAGGGCTAGGATAAGTGGCATGACTGTGAACACAGGTAAACAAAATCTCAGTTTCTGATGGTCAGTTTGACTATAGAATGCTTAGAAGATTTTTCTCTTCAGTCACCTTGACTGTAATGTTTCTCTCAATCCTCTATAGGTTTTGATGAGATGCCAGCAGTTGTGCTGAGTATCCGTTGTGTGTGATGAGCCGTGCCTCTCTTGTGACTTGCTGTGGATCTGAATTTATCCTACGTGGTCTTCAGTGATTGACTGAGGTGCATATGTAGGGACTGTTTGCTATAAAATGCAGTAAAGTTTTCAGCCATGGCTACTTAAATATTCAGTCCACCTTATTCTATCCTTCTGGAAATACCATTATGAATATGTTGGCAGGTTGGGTATTCCAAAAGAATTCCAAAGGAATTCCAAAGTCTGGGACTGTTGAATTTGTTAGGCTGTAGGATCGCAAATGACTTACTGTTTGATTTATTCTTTAGTTTGAATCTGGTGTTGAGCCCCTCTAGGAGTTGGGTCATTTCAGTTACTGTGTTTTTCAAATTTAGAGTTACTATGTGGTTTGTAAAGACTGTTTTCAATTTCCTTATTGATACTGAGCTACTGGCTCTCAACTATATTTTACTTCAATGGCATTTAGAATGTCTGAAGTTCTTATCTAGCAAATAGAAGATACAGGCCTCCTCATTAACCCTAGTAGTGGCATTGTGGACTACCTGTTTTATGGGACACATGTTCTTAATTCTTTGCAAACCGAATAATTTTAAAGTTGAGTGACCTCATCATAAAGCTGGAGATTTGACCAAATAGCTACTGTTTTGACTAGGTCTGTAAAGTGTGTTTTTGTGTAGTCATATAATCCTGAAGTTATGCTTCACCTTTCTAATTATGTAGCAGCTGTTTTGCCCCTTCCTTTTCCTTCAGCTGTGAGGAGTCTGAAGGTCAGCTAAAAGTGAGCTAGAAGGGTTTCACAGGTTCTTGCTGGATACGTGCACAGCCAAGAATATGTATATGGCCTTTGAAAGTTTACCAAAGCGGGCAGTTCTCTTAAGTCCCAATATTATCTATGAAAGATCTTCTACCCAGTCATAGTTTGATGAGAATCATCCTTGACAAGAAAATGAAAAAATGGTAAAGGATAGAATTTGGTGGCAATTTGAATAGCAAGAAATGAGCAAGACTGACCACCATAAGCAGAGTTATGATGTTACCATGTGCTAAACGGGAATTTGATATTTGATTGTGAGATAGAGAAGCCACATTTTGAGAGGTTGAATTGGAAGTGTCTATTACAAAGCTGTTGAGTGTGAGCGGACTCAGGTTCCAAAGACTTGCAGCCTGAAATGCAGTTAATACTGTTAGGAAACTGAGCTATGAGGGCATTAGAGTCAATAAAGAGCAGAAAGCAGTTTTAACAAACCAGATAAACTCTAACAGAGTTGAGGAGGGACACCATGGTGACCAGAGGAGAGTCAGACAGGAGGCATGGCAGAAGGGTGGCAGGGGTGGGGAGGCTTAATGAGGGTCAGAGCCACAAGAAGCTTGCCAGTTCATGGTAAAGGTCTCTCAGATGGCATTTCTTAGCCTGGGTATCCACATTTCCTTCCCCACTGGTTTTACGTACATAAAATCAAATCATTGATGCGTCAGTGAGTGAGAGGGATGTATTGGGTTCTTAGAACCATGAGCTTAACTGAGTTAATATGATTTTGAGCATAGTTTACATGGACCTACAAGGTTATACCCAAAAGAAGTACAATTAAGAGCCCCATGACTGTAGATATCAGTTGCTAGTCACAGGGACCAACAAAAATTTCTGAAACCAGCTGTGGGAATGCGCCCACCTTTGCTTTGTTTGTATGTTCTGTTTCATCAGAGAGGCTGTCCTGTATTAGACCTGTTAGCATAAAAACACGTTTCTCCTAAAGCTGACAAGAAGTTCCCCTCTTCAGTTTTGCCCGGGCTGATCCCAGCTGCAACCTGAGGTGTCTCCAGCAGTTAAAAGTTGGCTCAGTATAACTGATGGCCACATTATAATGAGGATTTGAACTTAAAGATAATTAGCAACCCTTTCCCAGATCAGGAGGGAAAATGTTTACAAACCTATGTACTGCAGAAATAGTATCACACAAGACTCTGGCGGGGTGGGGGTGGGGTCTTAGTTGTTCCCTGGTGAGTTGCTTGGTGTACCTGGTCACTCAAGGTTTAGCCCAGAGCTTTGGGTAGAAAATCCTATGGTCTGGCAAGATCAACCACTGTCCAGAGTCTTATTTTCCATTCAACTTCTTGGCTAGATAATTTTTCCTCTGAGCACACTGGCTTGGATGGCAGGCTGGGGTGGGGCTGCGCTGGCTTTAAGGTAGCTTTTCAGGCGGTGGCTGTACATTCCCTTTACTACTACGGAATCCCCTTTTGGATGCCCTAGACAATGCACCAGGGGAGCGGCTTTTGGGGA